TTGATAAACGAAGAGGCAACGTCAGACAGTATCGGGTAAAATCCCAGGACGATTGAAACGCGCGAACATAATCACTGACACATTCACGACACGTCGATTCGCGTGTCGAGGCAGAGGCTTACTCACGTCGAAACCTTGAAGTCTTCCAACATCCATCATGTCGTTGGCCGCCTTCGGGATAATACGCATTACATGAACCGCAGCTCTCAGTCCTTCGATTTCCGAGAACCTTTCAGTTCGTTCAGTATGTCTTAATGCTTCTCTGAGAAGAAGTTGGTACTTGGTGATCCTCTGAACCGGTTTTATCAAAAGATCGCACAATTGCAATCGATGTCCGAGCATTTGTCTCAGTTCCTAGTTGATGACGGTGATGGTTGGCGATGACGATGATCATAATCACGATTATAATAATAATTATACTAACAATAACAATAACAATAAGAAGAAGAAGAAGAAGAAGAAATAGGACTTGAAGGTTTTGAAACGTACCTCGAAATAGGTGTCTATATACTCCGAAACGATGTACTCGGAAACTGGTTTATTCTGACAATAAACAACGTACATGTGTAACTTTCTTTCGTATCGTTTGAACAACGGGCCAAGTTCTTCGGGTCGTTCTAGACAACGTTCCAAAGCTTTGAGGAAGAAGCTGTCGATACACAAGTAAGTAAGTAAGTTAGCAAGGTCGAGTTACGACGACAGAATGTTAGATGGATAAACGATAAAAAGAAGACTCACTCTCTGTGCCACTCGTAGATTGCTTCTACGTTGCCAAAAACCATCTTGTCTTTTCCACCACGCAGGTCATCCGGTAATGGAACTTCGCACTCGGGATCTCGCATCAACGACATATAACCTTCGACTATTTGTTTCAGATCATTCACATAATCTTTCTCCGTGTCCACCAATTCCCGAATAACGAACTGTCGTTTCGAAAGGACTGCACTTTCCGGATCGCACTCCTCCGGATTCGTATGAGACGGACTACTTGTTGTAGCTGATGCGACGGTGGCCGTCGTCGTGGTCGCAGTAGTAGCGCTAACCATTATCGTCGACAAGGAACTTTCGTCGCAGCTATCGTCGCCGACAATCTCAACGTTCGAGCTTTTATCGCTAGGTGTACGCATCAGACTTTGCCTCTCTTGATTTTCCGTGTGTTGTTCCTATCCATTGGCATCGCGTACGTATTCATTAATGCGACATAAAGTCTGATATATTTTTACGCAACACAGACTTACCATTCTTTCCTTAACGATTTGCTCGATTTCAGCCAAATCAGCGCTCGTCGCGCCGTCGAGAATCTTCGTAGAGCGTTCGGATGCCTGCATAATTCAACGGCGATTCATTAATTTCAAGCAAACTGTTTCCTCTTACCTCTACTCCTCCTCCTCCTCCTCCTCCTCGTTACAAACAATACTGGTTCATCGTTATTTTAGCAAAAAATTCCATCTTATCGTTGCAAAGTAGAGAGCACCACGGTATTTTCGAAGCTCGAAGCGATTGTTACGTGTACGTAACACGCAGCAGACAATATTACGCAACGGTAGATGTTATTACGAAAAATATAGCACACGTACATGATTCATTTGTATTCATCGGCGCGTGCCCGGCGAAACAAAGGAATAGATTAAAAAGAGCAGGCAAGGGTCGAAAAAGATTGCGAAAAGTAAGGAGATTCGAGGTTAAAAGAAGAGGACGAACTCACTCGAGATTTTCCGCAGGTCTCCGTTGCAACGACAGATCCTGACGATGCGTTACTAGTCGCGACGAGTATCGGTTCAGTGATAGGTTTCATTGGCGGTGGAAGTTCCAATTCGTCCTCGGCATCATCCGCTCCGTTCTGTTCGGAGTAAGTTAAAGCCTCGGTTTCGTCGGGTTCCGGTGCATCCTCTTCCAATTCAGCTTCCGATTGTTCGATTTCTCCTTCTTCCTCTTCTACCTCGACTTCTGCTTCCAATTCGGTCTCCAACTCCGTCTCGGAGACCGAAGTAGACACACGCATAGACGCGGTCACGATTGTCAAGGTGGAAATGGAAACGGGGGCGGCGGCAGCGGCGGTGGTCGCCGTGCTTCTAGATGGACCGACACGAGTCGTCTGTTCAGCGCCGCTGGGTAATTTGAATCGTTTCTCGGACACGTTCTTCTTCACGGAGGAACAATCCGAACGATCGGCCGCCGCCGCCGATGCCATCGTCGTATTGGTCGCCGCCGATTTCTCAACTTTACCTTGGCTAAGTTTACGCAGCGGAGGGGGTAGCCACTTTCTCCTAAGGGAAAAGGAAAACGACGCTGACCGCTTCTTTTCCTCGCTCTCTCTCTCTCTCTCTCTCTCTCTCTCTCTCTCTTTCTCTTCGTCGTATCTCACTTACCCGCTAAACACACGTCTTTTGTTTCCCGGTGAACTGGTGTTCGCCGTGGCACCACCACTTCCATCGTTCCCAATGACATTTTCTGTAAATTCAAACAGGCACCGAATAAATCCCGCGGTAGTTATTACCGCAGCTGAAGCACGTGAAAATGAAACACATGCACGACGAGACGCGATAAGGGGAATACACCTGCGAGGTACCCCGTCGTATCTACGTACTGTAACACTGTGTGTATATATGATATAACAGACGTACATGTACGTATTACGAGTGCAATTTTGGAAACATTTAACCTAAGAGGAGTTTGGCTAATAAAACTGACCGAAACAACTCGCAGAAAAGGTTAGCGACCCGATATCGATGTAAAGTGCCTGTCGGTATGCTGCATCGACTTTGTCAGCCATCGGCAAATGTCAGTTGAAGATTGAACCGGTCAAGGACACAGTTATCTCGGTACGTCGTATTGATCCGACACGATCGAGTCCAAGTACATGTCGTACAATAGACCGTTGTCAAAGAGGTAACCATATTTTCACCGTAACACGTATCAATGTGCTCGTAAATTTCGCGACACGTTTAATCGCATTTCACGCGTGATCGATGACCGCGTGCGCGCGTTTCCCTTCACGAGCCGCTTCGCGTAACCCCCCTCCCAAAACCTCTTTTAACTCCTATCATCCGCCTGCCTCCACCCGCCTCGGCTCACTTTTTACGTTAGCAACACCCTACTTTACTCCATACTCCGATCGTGAAGATATCATATCATGCTTTAGCCTCGTAATTCGTACACGTTCCCGCGTATTATTCCATTTTCCACCATTATCGCCGTTGCAAGCAGTTGCAGTTCACCTGTTTCGTCCGACAGTACGGACGCAGCCACATTCTGAATGGATAATCCGGCCGGAGATACGCCTGTCGTTATCGCTGCACCAGCCGCCGTCGCTGCCGGTGTCGACGACGACGACGACGACGACAACGACGAGGACGAAGACGCTGCTCCCGCCGCGATTCCTGTACCAGAGGGCGATACAGACGAGATACCGATCACACCACCCGACGACGACGAGATAGTACTTTGAACTTGACCACCGCCCCCGCCGCTACCGCCGCTCGATTGCTGTTGATGATAAAACGACGATTGTTGTTGCGGCGGGAGCTGTTGCTGGCCTGCAACTTTCCTAGACGGCGAAGTCTTGGTGGAAACCGGCGGAGGCTGTTTAAGCGCACTGGTAGGGACCAATCCTTCCGGCGGAGGATCCACTTGCCCCGGAGCGAGCAACAAACGCACGTGGGTCCATTCGGATGCGTTCACACCGGTGATACTGCTTCCATTCTCCAACACCTCAACTTGTTGGCCCTTCGTCACCGTCAACTCTTTCGAACCAGGTGCCGCCGAGTGATCCGCGATAACCCAAGTCACCTCGGCTACGCCAGTCTAGAACCATTTCGCCAAATCAAACAAACCGATTTATTTCCCCGTTACAACCGCCATCCACCCGCCGTTTCCCCCAATCGTGCCCTCTACTTGGCACGCACGCGATCCTCGTCGGTATCGAGATTCTTCTCGAAACCGAGAACAGTCTTTCTTCGACTCTTCTCTCTAACCTGAAGAAACACGAGGGTAGAGTGTGCGGGCGGTGGCGGTCGCGGCGGGGATCGTGGAGAACGGAGGAGAGGGGAAAGGGTGTTGTAGCTTTGCAAGCAAAAGAGCGAAGAGGGGCGAAGGTGGGGGGAGGAGGGTAGTAAATTTACAGAACAGATAGTCTTTGACTTTGCGGTCCGATGGAGCGCTTAATGGATTATTCTAGCTTCGGTGATTTCGATTTGATCGAAATAGCCTGTCTTCGTTAAAGAGACATCACAACAGGACGACGCGCGGGGTGTATTCGTTTCTTTCGAAAATACAGCCATGAATAGGGTTTACGCCTTATCACGGCTCGATATTTGCCTTTACACGTCATTCCGAACTGCGATTTATCACTCGACACACTTCCTGTGCGATCCGCTATTTCTCTCCCGATAAACACACGCACGCCTATCAGAGACATATGTATATGTAGTACATGTACACACGTGTTATAGTTGTACGTGGAATATGTGCTTCTCGTCGAATTCTTTAAGACAGTTCAAAATTAAAAGGCGAGCTTGTTGCGCATCTGAGGAGGGATACGTTCAAGGACGGGAAGCTGGGATAAAACTAGAATGGCACCAACTACGAATCAACTAGCACTGCGAACCACGACGACAACGATGCTAGTAGATACGAGTATAAGGCCGGGAGTCAAAACGGTCGGAGAGAAGTCGACCGCTTTCGGGTCGCATTCCACCGACGAAAATAGCCTTTTCCACGTGCCAAATTTTCCCGATTCTCTTTGAATCCTCCCAATGCTCCCTCCTAGTATGCCAACAGAATCTACCAATCAACGTTGATCAATCGTCTACTACTAACGAAGCTCTCGAGAGGCTTATCAGTAGAAAGCAGTCATCACCGTCACTCCTCTATCGCGCGACTCCCCAAAACCATTCTGCAATCGCTTAATTATGCAACTCGTCTTCCAATGTGTTTTCCAAAGCAAAAACGCTTTGCCGGTGCACGTACGAGTTTACATCCGGAATCTAACCATAGATTCGTACGTATCGAGCAACCTTGGCAACAAGCCAATCTCAACTTGGCCTCGAATCGCGCATTTCGCGTCTCGATTCGATTCTCGCTTCAACGATCGTGTATCAAGGAAAAAGGGGAAGAAAATTCCTTTTTTTCTTCCTTTCGCATAAAAACACGGAATTTAGTAGGGAAAATCGTAACGCTTCAAACACAAAACGATCGTCTTGTTATAGCGACAATTTAAAGATCTTGGTTAGAATTGCAATGCAAACACAGACCAAGGTGTATTTCTCGTTTGGAAAACAGCAATTTAATATCGACAATTCAATTTCCTGTCATTTTACACCTTTGTACACGACAAATAGGAAAGAGATAACGACGACGACGACGTCGACGATAACGACGAGTTCTTTAACGTGGATGTGGCTAAGAAATTACGATCGCGGTCGTAGATGCGGATGTGAATGCGAACCGCAGTCGGTCGTTTCCTTCTACATTCCGTATTTCATATATTCGTAGATAAAGTGGAAAATGTCTCGAATTACGTAACCTCGTTAACGTTCGATGAAAATTAATCGACGTTCGACTTTTGCTTTAAAATCAAGAAAAATCTTGTTTGGAAACTAAACCGAAAAATTGCATCGCGTTCTGCTTTCCCTTCGTCAACTCTCGCTTCGATCAAGGGAAACACAAGCTTCCATTCTACCATCGTTTGCTCTGCGTTACCTCCTAAAATGGCATATTCCCGATTCGACTTATTCGATCTACGGAATGTCAATCCGTAAGCGTAAAATAGGACGCGGGGAAAGCTAAAATGGATGGAGAACGTACGGAAAAACGTAGGGCACGTGCGCGCGCTCCTCTACGTGGGTAACTCTTGACGACGAACGAGTACTCAAGTACCTGGGAGAGGGAGGGTTGACGGTGCAGAAGTTGGGCCTGGAACGAGCTCGGGGTGTCGATGGTATGCTGCCTAGAGAGGGCTGCATGTGGCGGAGCTACGGAACTCTGACGGAACCAGGGTAACGAGATCTTCCTGCGGGCTTTCTGGACGATCGTTGCAGGCTTTCCTGTTGGTGACGTCATGACAGTTTCGCCTCGTGTTCGATTCACGTGCGTGGACGCGATAACCAGGTGTAACACGAAGTAAACGCGATTAAAGATGCCATCGAACGTGCCACCGACATGATGCTTTCTTCCTCGATCTTTTCCCTTTTCTCAACAGGTCAAATATGCTCTCTTTCTGTCGTTCCACGATTCGCGCCCCTCTCCTCTCATTCACCATCGAACGGGTCCATTCGACCCAAGTGTCGCGCCCGTACTGAACCCTCCACCGCCTCTGCCACCGCCACATACCCCTAACCCCTTCCCCACCTTTCCTTCTTCTGCCGTCACATTTCCTCCATCGTATCGCGCCGCGACGCGCTTGCTCGCTTTTCGATTATTCTCGAACCCCACCCAACGACGCTGCTCCCTCTCGCGCTGCTCGCTTTACCCCACCACCACCACCACCGCCACCGCTGCCGCATACTCTATCAAAAACAGCACCAGACAAATCTGGGGGGAGGATCGCTTCCTCCCTTCCCTTTCATACGCGTTCGGATTATCATCGTCACGATGATAACAACCGGTATATACCTACCCCCGTCGTAGATCCTTCCGAGATTACATCTTTCTTTATCTCTAAACCATCGTTTTAA